GTAAGAAGTAGAAGTAAAAAGTAGGCTGAAAAAGAATTACTCAAGTAAAGTACAGATACCCAAAGATTTTACTTAAGAAGAAACAAAGTATTTGAACTTACGTACTTTACAAATCCGCTGAAATTTAGATTTTGTTCCTAAAAAGGGACAAATACCTGTAGGTTTTTCAGTCGTTGTATGAAAGAGAAGAAGTGCTCTATGCCAGTTAAATTCTACATTTATAAATTTTAGGAATATCTTTGAAACTCAATAAAAAGGCAGGTTTAATGGACCAATATTGAACACTCTGATTTCATGCATTAGAAACTGTAAARTATGTGTTTTGTTCTAAAGACGGATTTTGAAAAGAAGAAGAAGTCTGAGGGGAAAATGGTGCGAGCCGAGCGGCAGGTGGTGTTGGACATGCTCTTCTCCGCCTTCGAGAAGCACCAGTTTTACAGCTTCAAGGACCTGGTGGACATCACCAAACAACCTGTGGTGAGCACAACTCGGTGTGAAAAACATCCAACACAAACAAACAAGAACACACTTAACAATATAAGTGGAAAAAACATACAAAAAACAAACAATACACCTGCCCACCATCCACCTTGCTTTGTTAAATTTGAAACCAGTCGCCCACAGTGTGACGCCTGCTGCTCACACTATCTGTTGTGGCTGAAATTTTGGGCCCGCGCGCTCACACGTGCACGCGGGCGCACGCGGRAGGGATCGATGTAGCGCGCTGGACAGGTTCCAGGCTCTCGGCGAACAGCAACGTGTAGGTGCAGATGAGACCTTTGAGGTCCTCCTCTCCCTCTGATTGCTTCTGATTGCGTAACCACCGGCTGAGTAGGAGTCAAACGCCCCGATACACTCCACCACCATCGCTCCTCTCCCAAAGCACTTGGCCAACACTCAAATTAACTGAACTAAAGTAACCAAAATGTCCATTATGAGAAGTTTTGAAGCACGTCCCTGTTATTCATCAAGTGGAGTGACTGAAGCGTTTCAGGCTCAACAGAGACACCCTGTGGTCACTGTGCGGTACTGCAGCTAATGTTTTAGCTTTGGTTTTGAGATAAAGGGGCGTTTTTAATTGGTTTATGTGGAGTTTAAGGTCATTTGGATCATTTTATTACCTCATATGAAACTGAGCCGGTCTGATTAAACATATATGAATAGCATGGAGTAGAGACTGAATCAGAAAACCCTTAAATCTGTGGTTTCACATCAGTGGTGGACTAAATATAATAATATGCAATAATTGTAACTGTTTCTTTCAAACCAGCAAATAAATAAACTCTATACATTTCAGCTATATACTGTGGGAAAATACTGTCGTGAGTTTTCAATAGCATCTCCAAATGTTACCAAACTGTAAAAAGTTTTTTTTTAAATTAGTCTTCAGATACGAAACGTCAAAGAAAACATCGTTCTGTTTAAGGAACTTGGCATACCACWCACTATTTTACCCATTTAGACACATAACTAGCGACTCAAAATAATCTGAAACATRAGATTCCTCTCCACAGTCTGGGCTGTTGAGCATTTTAGACGTTCCCCTTTGACATCACTTCCTGTTACTTCACATGCAAATATCTCAACTGTTCATCTCAGCAGCATGAAAATTACTTTGTAATATGTTCTCAGTGTTCTTTCCAAAAATGCATTTGTATTGTCCTGATGCATCTCAGTAATCCAGGTAAAAAATCAAAAAGAAAAAAAATTGTATAGGTCTTCTGGACCTTCTTGTTGCAAA